TACACCAAACTTAGATTAAATAAGTTCATATGCTTTTGTCTTCTCAATCTGTCTTTTACCATAGGGGCCTGAGTCATAAAACCAGCAAGAGTAGAAGGAAAGATATGCTTCCTCCCCTATACTTGCCTTCAGCAACAATCTTTTTATTTATTTATTTATTATTTATATTTTTAGAGGCAGAACCTTGCTTTGTTACCCAGGCTGGAATGCAGTGGTGTGATCAGAGCTCACTGCAGCATTGACTTCCCTGGACCCAGGTGATCCTTCTGCCTCAGCCTCCTGAGCAGCTGAGACCACAGGCATGCTATTTTTTTCTACATTTTGTAGAGATAGGGTCTCACTATGTTGCCCAGGCAGGTCTCGAACCCCTGAGTATAAGCAATCCACCCACCTTTGCCTCCCAAAGTGCTGGGATTACAGGTGTGAGCCTGGCCCAGCAATAATTTTATCAAGTCGGTTTAACCAGAAATCATCTTATCCTTGGCATTTCCTCTTAGTAATTTTCTATACACTGACTCCTCCACCCTGCTCCCTGGCTATAAATCCCCACTTTGAATACTTATGTATACAGAAAGGAACCCAGTTCTATACTGAGGTCTCTCTTTTCCTATTGCAATTGCTACTAAATGAAATTTTCCTTCACTGCTTTCATTTCTGTCCAGCTCCAGCTTTCCTGGACACTGACACATAGACCAGTACCTGGCATGTAGAAAATACATATTAAATAAATGACTTGCCCGAAGTCACACAGGTACTTGGTGCTGGAATCCAGGTCTCCTAATTTCCAGCTGTGGGCTTGTTATATAGCTTTACTTTCCCACCCAGGAATAAGATAGAACTTTTCAACAGTGGTTGTCAAACTCCAGCCAAATCTGGTCCCTTGCCTGTTTTTGCCTGACCTATGTGCTAAAAATGCTTTTTTTCAGATGATTTTTAGAAATTAAAAGAAGAAATCGTGAGGCATAAAAATGATGCAAAATTCAAATTTGTGTTAATAAACAAGGTTGTATTGAAATGCAAGCAATGCTCATTCATTTATATTGTTAAAAGAAAAACCTTGGACAAATTAAATGTAGCAGAGTTTAATTGAACAAGAGTAAATTGTGAATCAGGCAGCACATAATCCAGAATAAGTTCAGACAGACTGGTGCTGCAAGTGATCAAGGATTTATGGACAGAAACAGGAAAGTGACAGAACACGGAAGTGAGGTATAGAAACAGCCGGACAGGTTACAGCTCAGTACTTGTCTTATTTGAATAGGATTTGAACAGTTGATTGCTTTTTTTTTTTTTTTTTTGAGACAGAGTCTTACTCTGTTGCCAGGCTGGCAACAAAGCTACATGCCAGGTAGTGGCGCCATCTCGGCTCACTGCAGCCTCTGCCTCCCCCAGTTCAAGCGATCCTGCTGGCTTAGCCTCCTGAGTGGCTGGGACTACAGGCACGAGCCACCACACCTGGCTAATTTTTGTACTTTTAGTAGAGATGGGGTTTCGCCATGTTGGTCAGGCTGGTCTTGAACTCCTGACCTCAGGTGATCCTCCCCCATTGGCTCCCAAAGTGCTGGAATTACAGGTGTGAGCCACCATGCCCGGCCAGTTGACTGCTTTTGAGTGGCTGAAATCAGTGACTGGCACAAGAGTAGGTTACAGTCTGTTCACACATCCAGTTAGGTTTCAGTTCACTATGTATGGAGAAATCTTTAGGCTGAACTTAAAATATGTAAGGAGACAACTTTAGGCTGGACCTAATTTAACAACATACCATCCACCATTGTCCTGCTACAAACAACTGGCTTACAAAGCCTAAAATATGTACTACCTGATCTTTTATAGAAAAAGGTTGCTAACCCCTGTTTTACCACATTCCCCAGTATCCTTAGCTTAAGCCTTAGGATGCTTAGCTTAAGCATTCTACTCTTAGGAGATGCAATCTATGCTCAGTCAATACCAAACCCTGTGTCTGACTCTACAATAGAGGTACATCAGCAGAGCATTGAACACAGACTCCCCCACATCCCCACAGTGAGATGGGACTCCACTACCTCACTCAATCCTTATACCAATAAACAGAACTATTAACTATGATTATAGAGCCTTAATATGAAAAAGATAATTGGGTGAACCCCAAACACAAGCAGAAACTTGATTCTTTTATCCTCCAACTCTGAGTTCAATGCCGAGAATTTACTGTTATCTTAAAAGTCAGAATGGCTTAAAAGCACAGGCATAAAAAAGCATAGAGACTTTCCTTTGCATTAGCTTTTCTTTTGTCCCATGGTTCCCACCTCCAGCTGCACAAGAGAATCATCTGGGGAGCTTTTAAAATTTGCTAATGCTTGGGTTCCACCTGCACTCACAAGTCCTGATTAAATGGGTCTGGGCATTGTTTAAAAGCTTCCCGGGTGGTGTTGTTATGTGGCCATGGTGGAGAGCCAACTTGGTCTTCAAACTTAACGTGTACATGAGAATTATTGCACAGGATCATATCCATAAAGCTCTGAGTACTATGCTTCGTGAGGGCTCTTTAGGGGATTTGCGATGATCATTTTATTTATTTATTTATTATTTTGAGATGGAGACTTGCTCTGTCACTCAGGCTGGTGTGCAGTGGCATGATCTCGGCTCACTGCAACCACCCCCTCCTGGGTTCAAGTGATCCTCCTGCCTCAGCCTCGAGTAGCTGGGACTATAGGTGCCTGCCACCACACCCAGCTAATTTTTGTATTTTTAGTAGAGACAGGGTTTCACCATGTTGAACTGGATGGTCTCAATCTCTTGACCTCGTGATCTGCCCGCCTCTGTCTCCCAAAGTGCTGGGATTACAGGTGTGAGTCACCGCACCCAGCCTATTTTTATTTTTTTACACAGAGTCTCACTCTGTCACCCAGGCTGGATTGCTGAGGTGCAATCATGGCTCACTGCAGCTTGGAACTCCTGGGCTCAGGCAATCCTTCTGCCTCAGGCTCCCAACTAGTGGCTAGGACTACAGGTACACGCTGCCATGCCCAGATAATTTTTTTAATTTTTTGTAGAGACAGGGTCTTGCCATGTTGTCCAGGCTGTTCTTGAACTTCTGGTCTCAAGTGATCCTCCTGCCTCTGTCTCCCAAAGTGCTGGGAGTCTCACTCCATAATTTTAACCTATATTGAATTTTCACCTTAAAATGCTCTTAGGCCTGGGAGGTCAAGGCTGCAGTGAGCTATGATCACACCACTATTCTCTAGCCTGGGTAACAGAGAAAGAACCTGTCTTGAGAAAAAAAAAAAAAGAAAAAAAAATAGAAATGCTATTAGAAAAAATTAACTGAGAGGCCTGTAGTCAGATGGCTCCAGTGTTGTGGGGTCCTAGGTGAGCAAACTGAAATCAGCTCAGAGTAACTTAACTGCAAACCAAAAATGAAATCCTAAGCTCCCAGTCTACTGAACGATCCCTTCTTGGCCAAGGGGACCCCAGAGAAACCTGAAAAACTGAACTCTGGCCATGATGGGAAGGGGCTCAGACACACCTCCGTCTTCTACCCCCTCCCTTTCGGAGTTTAGGCAACTGCCAGCAGTAACATTAAAACAAAGATCGTAAGACTGACAAAACAGACTCTTCCAGGCAACAAGATACCAAACTCCAACTTGACTCTAGTAGAGCATCACTCGACAGATAGCAGACCCTGAAGGAAATCAAAATATTTTACCCCCAAATATATTTCTTTTTTTTTTTTTTTGCAATAGAACCTCACTCTGTCGCCCAGGCTGGAGTGTAGTGGCACAATCTCTACTCACTGCAACCTCCACCTCGCAAGTTCAAGCGATTCTCCTGCCTCAGCCTCCCGAGCAGCCGGGATTGTAGGTACACACCACCACGCCCAGCTAATTATTATATTTTTAGTGTAGATGGGGTTTTGTCATGTTGACCAGGCTTGTCTCAAACTCCTGGCTTCATGTGGTCTACCTGCCTCAGCCTCCTAAAGTGCTGGAATTAAACAGGCGTGAGCCACCTGGCCTGCAACCTTTCAGCCTCTTTTCTATGAATAAACAAATAAATAACTTTAACTAACATGCTGTTTCTTTTTGCGCCTGTAGTCCCAACTACTTTGGGGGCTGAGGTGGGAGGATCTCTTGAGCCCGGGAGGTGGAGGCTGCAGTGAGCCATAATTGTGCCACTGCACTCCAGCCTGGGTGACAGAATGAGACCCTCTCTCAAAAATAATAATAATAGGCCAGGCGCTGTGGCTCACTCACACCTGTAACCCCAGCACTTTGAAAACCAAGCCAGGCAGATCACCTGAGGTCAGGAGATTGAGATCAGCCTGGCCAATGTGGTGAAGCCCCGTCTCTGCTAAAAAAAAAATACAAAAATTTGTATTACAATTTTGATTTGATTACAGGTGGTAGCGCCACCTGTAATCCCACCTACTTGGGAGACTGAGGCAGGAAGATTGCTTGAACCCAGGAGGTGCAAGCTGCAGTGAGCTGAGATCCCACCACTGCACTCCAGCCCGGGTAACAGAGTGAGATTCCATCAAAAATAACAAATAAAATAATAATAACAAATAAAATAATAATTTTTAAAAGGAAGAGTCACAGCACCCCATGTGAAGGGATCTTGTTTATCTGAGTTGGCATGCCAAGAAAATCTGCTCTATTTTAATCCTATAAGGAAAGTCACTTTGAAACAACCCATCTGCTTTGTGTTCCCTGTTTCTGTTCTCTTCAGCGCTTTTCTACTGATTCATGAATCGCTCTCTGCTCAGATACACTTTTCAAATTTGCGTCTGTTTTTCTTGAATGTGCCTTGGTTTATCTTTGAACAGTGTGAACTTCAGAGCCCAAACCCTGACATAAGATGTGGCCCCACTAAGTTTAGCTCCATCACGACAAGACTGTCCAGGTTTCTACAGAGTGCCTTGGAAACCACAGAAGTAGTAAGTAGCATAAGGCCCAGTCCCTTAAGGGCAGAGCCTGGGGTGGGAGCGTGTGCATGGCTGCGTAGGTACCGAGGGTATGGGAGTAGTTAGTTGGCAGAGACAACCAAGATACTCACTGCTGCAGACATCTCCTGCCTGGAAGAGTTCTGTGGTGAGTAGAACTAACCCGTAGTAAGAGAATGCGTTGGAAAACCTGCCAGAAGAAAGCAAGAAAGGTAAAGAAATGATCAGAGGAACACAAGTCCCCTTTCCCTACCCCACTGGGAAGGGCCAGTGTCCACAGCAGCAGGGACCAGTCTTTGGGCTGCATTGGGGCTTTGGGGGCTTTACTGGGTACCTTGGGCAAGAAGATGGAAGGTAAAAAAGCATCATGATATGATCAAAGGGAAGTGCTCCTGTGTCCTTCGAAAGACCAAGAACTGTCAGAGGTGTTTGAACCAGAGCAACTCCATCTTGAATAGGGGCTGGATAAATGAAGGCTGAGACCTGCTGCGCTGCATTCCCAGAGGGTTAGGCATTCTGTTACAGGATAAGATAGGAGGTCGGCCAAGATACACATCATAAAGACCTTGCTGATAAAGCAGGTTGCAGTAAAGAAGCCAGCGGTAGGCCGGGCACAGTGGCTCCTGACTATAATCCCAGCACTTTGGAAGGTCAAAGTGGGTAGATCACCTGAGGTCAGGAGTTCGAGACCAGCCTGGCCAACACGGTGAAACCTTGTCTCTACTAAAAATACAAAAATTAGCTGGGTATGGTGGTGGATGCCTATAATTCCATCTACCCGGGAGGCTGAGGCAGGAGACTTGCTTGAACCTGGAGGTAGAGGTTGCAGTGAGCTGAGATCTCACCATTGCACTCTGACTTGGGCAACAAGAGTGAAACTCCGTCTCAAAAAAAAAAAAGGAAGCCAGCTATAAACCCAGCAAAACCAAGATGGTGATGAGAGTGACCTCTGGTCATCCTCACTGCTACACTTCCACCAGCGCCTTGACAGTTTACAAATGCCATGGCAACGTCAGACATTCCCCTATCTGAATAATCCACCTCTTATTTAGCGTGTCATCAAGAAATAACCATAAAAAGGGGCAACCAGGAGCCCTCGGGGCTGCTCTGCCTATGGAGTAGCCACTCTTTTATTCCTTTCCTTTCTTAATAAACTTGCTTTCACATTACTCCATGGACTGGTCTTGAATTCTTTCTTGCACGAAATCCAAGAACCCTTTCTTGGGGTCTGAATCGGGACACCTTTCTAGTAATACAACTATACTATCCCAGAGACACAGCACCTCCAAGGCTGTCTACCCGACTGGCAACAGGGGAAAAATGGTTTTAGGGACCAACCTCTGGAAGAAAACAGTCCCATTAACATCTTTTAGGGCTTCTAGGTCAAGCATATCAACTTAGACATGTGATTTTCAAATTTCAGAGCAGAATGACCCTGTTTATTAATTCCTAGCTGATCCAGGAACTAGAATACCCAAGTTTGCAGGACCAGAGCTTTCTTATCCAGTGGAATAGTTATATGGAAATGCAGTCATAATCAAAAGCCAGTGATTCATTTCCTTAGGTTACAATGTGTGCAAGCAAATTTAGTGACTTCCAAAATGCACTAAAATTAGTCTCTAATTAATTGCTTCAGTATTCAAGGAGTGTTGGCCCAACCAAATTACATGTGCTCAAAGGTGGGTATTCTCAACACAGACCCCCGGGTTCTGAATATTACCAAAGCTTATTCTCCTCTTTCCTATAATTGACCACCTTGGGGTCACTTCCCTGTTAATTAGCACCTCTGCTAAATGGTGAATGGAAAAGTGAGAACTGGTTAAAAAAGAACACAAAGCCTTAAGCCAGGCCAATTTTGTTCACTGTTAATGCTGTGTACATGAATTGGTACAAAGAGAGTTGAAGGATGACTGCAATTCCAATTCATTGTGGAGTTTAGGGTGATTACACTCTCCAAATGCCACCCCCAAGCCCGCACCTTCTGTCTCCAGCTCCCTTCCATGGCTGTTATTTAAGAAAAGGTCCAACAGGATCAGAACTGGAACTTAAAAGAATGCCCACATTGACCAAATCAGAGGTTCCCAAAATATGTGCCACATGCCACCCCTGTGGTGCCCAAGGGGCAATATGGGCTCAGGCAGGACACTGACATAAATGAATAAATAAATACGCACACACCCGCGTGCGCGCGCGCGCGCACACACACACACACACACACACATACATATATATATATTTTTTTTTTTTTTTTTTTTTTTTTTGAGACAGAGTCTCACTCCGTCACTCAGGCTGGAATGCAGTGGTGCAATCTTGGCTCACTGCAGCTTCCATCTCCCAGGTTCAAGAGGTTCTCATCACTACAGGCGCCTGCCACCACACCCAGCTAATTTTTATATTTTAGTAGAGATGGGGTTACACCATGTTGGCCAGGCTGGTCTCAAACTCCTGACCTCAGGTGATCCACCTGCCTCAGCCTCTCAAAGGGCTGAGATTATAGGTGTAAGCCACCACACAGGGCCACATAGCAGAAATATTCAATCATATTATGAAAGAAAAATTCCCTTTTAAGTTTACTTTCAATCCTTTTAAATTATGTCCCAGTGCCACTTACGTGCTATGGAGTCCTTAACACCTCCCCCTCCCATTTCTTTCTTGTTTTTGTTTTGAAACAGGGTCTCATTCTGTTGCCTAGGCTGGAGTACAGTGGCATGATCACAGCTCACTGCAGCCTCGACCTCCTGGGCTCAAGTGATCCTCTCACCTGAGCCTCCTGAGTAGCTGGGACCACAGGTGCATGCCTCCACACCCAGGTAACTTAAACATTTTGTGTAGAGACAGGGTTTTACCATGTTGCCCAGGCTGTTCTCGAACTCCTGGCTTCAGGAGATCTTCCCACCTCGGCCTTGCCAGTGCTGGGATTATGGGCATGAGCCACCATATCCAGCCCGCCTTTTTATCTCTTAAATCCAGAGGCTCATTGCCTCTGCAAACCATCCATCTGGTTACTTTTGCTGGTATTTCTCTTTAAGAGTGCCTTCGGCCGGGTGTGGTGGCTCAAGCCTGTAATCCCAGCACTTTGGGAGGCCGAGGCAGGTGGATCACGTGAGGTCAAGATTTCAAGATCAGCCTGGCCAATATGGTGAAACTCCATCTCTACTAAAAAAATACAAAAATTAGCCGGGTATGGTGGTGGATGCCTATAATTCCATCTACCCGGGAGGCTGAGGCAGGAGACTTGCTTGAACCTGGAGGTAG